TTATTATTTAATATGCCGTTCTAGCCCTCCAAGCGCAATGAAATTTAATAATGTTATTCCAGACGCACTTTAAGCCTTCCATAGCTGAAAAATATATCTTTGTTATATAAGCGCACCGCCACTATATGGAACTAGCTGCCCACTGAAGTCAAATCAACTTATGGTCCTTCAAGAAAAGAGCGTATCAATTCTTCGGCAACGCAATAGCGAGCCTTCTGCCAATGTGAGTGTCTATGGGCAGCGCATATCACTTAACATCAGGTGAGCCTGCTGCCCGTTTGCCTCCTATTAAAAAAACCACAATAGTTAGATAGATAGATTAGTGTAAAAGCTATACAAGAAGTATTAACTAGTATTGTTTATTATAAACGCTTATTCTTTTTAAGCAGTACAGAAAAATACCTTCAAACAAGTCTTATTTCTACCACTGTCATTGTGGGTTGTGTGTGTAAACTTTGCACACAATCGTAAGATTTCAGAGTATTCATTCAAATTTGGTTAAATATTCTTGTTATTCTAGCTAAGTTTGCGTCAACCCTGAGTTCGTTACCCTTGAACCGTTCGAATCCCGGCTGTACCATTGCATATTTATCATTCAATGTGCGCATTTATCACTTTTCATACGGTTAAAATAACTATTGTGAGGAAATCGACATGTCTCAAGCACACATTTCCAAGTTGGCTATAAAATATAATTATACAAGAAATAAATGCATTTTGCGCCATTAGATTTAATTTCCATTTATAGCGCGTGTATTATTATCATTTTATATACCGAGGAGAGCTTTTCATAAAAAATACGATTTGTTAATTAAAAACTAGTTATGAAATGTATAAAATTATAAAAAATATAGTAAAATTCACATCTAATAAGGCAATACTCATTATGGAAATAGTATTACCGAATTTCTGGTACAATTTCAAATATTCACGAATGTTCTGGCAAACTGGCATAACATAATATTGAATAATTTATGAAGCCAATATTATTCTCAATACATAAACAGATTGTATCATAGTTCCTATCTTGTTTTTCTAATTTACAGTGATAGATCTTTAATTAAATTTACCTTTTAGTTTAAAAAAGAGAAGTGTTTCCTAGTAGCTTCATGCGACTGACTTTCCTGATGTCATAGGTTCGACCCCCGTATAGGGCTTTCTATGTGCGCATTTAACACTTGTTCGTACGAAGTAAAACATCGTGATGAAATTGCTATTAGCGCGAAAAAGTTTCGCATTTCAGGCACAGAAAGATGATTACCTACCTGTCTATTCGAAAAGCGTTCACGAAATAGATACAGAAATCTGAGGCCCAAATCTAAAAGGTGACACTACAAAGTGTTAGTTTTTGGTTCAACACAGTGAACTTCAACTACAATATTTAATAGCTAACGATTACTTAACGACTCTTTAAACATAAGGTAGGAAATTTGTTATCTTCCGTTTGGGTATATATGGTAATTATTTAATTCATATTGTTAATTAGCCGTTAACTTTTAGTGATTCTGAGTGAAGCCATGCCTTTAAAATTTGTTTTTATAAATTTTAACTTGTCGTTTATTTAGATTTTAGATAATAAATTCTATACTGTAAAGTTTGCAGCGCCCTCTTGTAGAACATTGCGGTACTGGGTAAACATCCAAACATTGGTTTCCCTAGACCGGGTGGCGCTATAGGATATTCTAATATCTTAATATATATAAATTACGTGTCACGTTGTTCGTCCGCTATGGACTCCTAAACTACCGAACCGATTCCAATCAAATTTGCACACCGTGTGCAGTTTGATCTAACTTAAAAGATAGGATAGCTTACATTTCAATTTATACCCGCAATATTATTTGATTGCAAAGTATTTGTTTATTATTTGATACAATCCTAACAGATGGCGCTGTGTTGAAAGTACCAACGTTTCACATAAGCTACAATTTAATGGCATTACCACCAAAAAGCATGGTGGTCCCCATGACTGGTGTTTTACTACCGTTTACCTTGAATAGGTTACTACTATGTAATATAACTAAAACCTTAGCCACAGCAACGCTTGGCCGAGTCTGCTAGTGTTAATATACAAACCAGTCGGGTTTGTTCGAAAACTTTTAAGTTGAGAACGGCTGGACCGATTTTCATCGTTTTTGTTTTGTTGTATTTGTCTCTGTACCGAATACATTGAAAAATTGACGAAATAACTGAAGAAACATCTTTTCTATATTTATAAATATTTTAAACCTAAATCCACTCATTCCATCTACGGAACGTTTTAACTTATAAAGTGCCATTTGTTATTTAATTAAAAGTGAATAAAACTAAATACTAGAAGCTCGATGTGTGAATAAATTACCAATATAAGAATTAGTGTCATGGTACTTCTATAATACTCCATATTCTTCGATTTGAGTAGTGGTAGATACGCTAAATATAGATTTTTGTAAATTACCTCATAGTACAAATCAACGTCTAATAGTAAGACAAATTAACTAATTACCTGCCTATTTTGTTGAGAGATAAAATAAATTTATAAGTAATTACTGGCTGTTATAAATAATAAAAAAATACGCACTAATGTAATTTATTAAAGCTGTTAAAGTTGTGTGAATTGTATAATGTGTATGATGTATGTGTGGAATGCTAAACTTTTCGATCTTCACTTGTTTCGCCTTGATTTTCTATGACTGGAAAATGTATACCAATATAAACCCGATTATTTCAAAGATATGCACGTAACTATTACGTCTAATGTTAAGTTAATGCGTCCATCTCATTCATAATTTTAAAAAGATGAACCTTTTGTAAGAGGTGTACAAAAATGTAATAAAAAATAATTGTCGTGAGATTTCTGTTATATTATACCTAACTAATAATTTCTTAATTCCAAAATTTAACATCGAGTGTACTCCTCGTCTATCGTTTGCCCCCTATTATATATAAAAAAAAGATATATATTTTATAATTTAAATTCACAGTTTTAGGTTAAAAGCAACATGTGATAGACTTTTTGTAATTAGATATCGTTCTAGAACTTAAACAAAGCTTGCAATAAAAGTTTTAATTAAGAGTAGAACAACGTATTTTGTAACTTTGTAACAAAAGTGCTCGGTTTCATAATGCTAACCTCATTAGAGCCGGCTTTGTTCGATAATAAATTTAACTCCTCACATTTTCACTTTTCATTTTCATACAGATGTTGTTATAAAATAATGTAAAAAAAAATATTATAACAAAATTTTAATAATATACACAATTCTAGTATATCTACCACTTTTTGGCGTAAAAGAAATCATTTCACCGAATCAAAACCCCTAACCTATTATTATAACTAATGTCGTGTTTGGTAAAATACAATCAATATTATTACAAAGCTGGTACGAAGTGCGTTCAGCAGTTACATGATTCGGAGTAGCTGTTTATACTTCTGTTAAAATAAATAAAATAATAATTTAAAAGAAAAAACTTTTGAACCTTCTATTTAATAATATTATATTAAGTTTTTATACAAAATAACATAGTATTTATATTATAAACGTGATATAATTAAGATTAACGTAATAAATATACAAAAATATATTTAAGGTAAACAAATTAAGCTATACAAAACCGCCCAAAAAAGCTTTACCGTAGTTCATACTCGCACTACGAAATAATTTTATTTGATAACTTTGCTTGCCTCGCTTTTTATTACCAATTCTCGGCGAGTTAAAGAAAGAGTAATTATATTCTGTGATCGATATATTATATTCTATATGAGTTTACAGGTTTTTCCAAACTATGTTCGAAATACATATTTTTATTTAATAAATTTTAATTTCTTCTCTCTTCTCTATTATTTTAGTGATAGTGATTGCCTGGAAGAGATCGCTCGAAAACGATCAGGCCGCCAGTTGCCCTCCTTTTCATGTAATTAGCAAAGTATTTGTTACTATATTATCAGTCCAACCTCTTATTGTTCCCATACTAATTTGCTTCTTATGCTTACGACTGACAATTGTGTGCCTTTACATGTTAAGATCAGACGAGGTATGCACACAGGGCTTATTATTTTATGGTTAAAATGTGTTCTTTGGTAGCATAATTTTTTGGTAGCATTGCGTGGTCACGTGGTCATATTACATATCACCCGGCATATTAATAATATATTACAATAAAGCATAACAGGTGTGACTTATCATATCATTATTTCATCGGCAAGTGTTCAGCTATCTGAGACACATGCGGTCGATTTACGACCAAGACATGCCGGTTTCCTCAAGATATTTTTCCTTAACAACTCGAGCTGGTGATTTTCATTATGCACATTAAAATAATAATCCGTAGGTATAATGTTCGTGAAAATCGTGTTAATGGCACGATTAAATACGTATATTAGTTTAAGACATTACTTCTACTACTATTACTCTAGTATATTTTAAAATAAGGTAATGAATATAACACGAATGAATAAAATAACAAATAAAAAAAACTGAATAACACCAGTGCGATGTTAACTTAAACGAAGCACGGGCGTACCTTTGGGCGATTGTTATAGGATAAATAGGTTGTATCGATCCAACCAAATTACGCACAAAAAACGAGTTTTCCTTCAATCTCCTAATAACATTTACTCGGGCGTATAAATATTCTGAATAATGAGCGTTGCTTTAACAAAAACTTCGCAATTCTTTCGTTATAGATTTATGATTTTAGAAATGAAAGATACTTATTCCGATGAACGAGACCAACGTGAAAATGCTTAGAAAATTCACTTTGAAGTGAATAAATCTACGGACTTATTTAGTTAACAAATATAAGAGACGGTCTAGTAAAACGTTGTAACGTTTTTTTCTCTTACCAAGACATTTGGAGACGGTTGCCATGTGAAAAACTTAAAATTAGATTAAGAAAATCTGAATTATTTGACATAAGTGAAATTTAATTAGTTATCCGAAATCCTTTTACAGAACTTTTTAATTGGTTTCTATTTCTATTCCAAACCAATTGTGTTAACTGAACTTGGTTATTTTTAGGGTGTGTTGCGTGAGTTGGAACAGAAGAAACCTCAACTGGACGAGCTGCTACATACGGCTGAGAGTCTCAAGGGTACAGAAAACAGACAGCAGCTACATGGAAAAGGTAGGTTTATTTATTTCCTTATTTGCTTTTAGTAACTTAATACTAATACAATATAAAAGTTAAAACCTAAACCTGTTAACTCGTATAACAAATTATGAATAATGTAATTCTTGTGAATTCAGCCAGTGTGCAACTAAATATATTAGTCTCACATACATCAAATCAAATTTTACTTATATTTTATACGTTAAATTCAAACTAAAAGCCTCTATCTCTAGAATTTCGTGGCGAGGGATAGTAATTACACACATCCTAGATTTACGTACGAACGTTTGCACGTAGTCATATGTTCCTTGTATGGATCCCAGAGGAGGTAGAAAGATTGATGATTCTATAATTGCTTTCGCCTGACAAATTGCGTCCTTGATATCAACAGTTGCGACGGTAAAAGGAAGTCATTTCACCTAACTACCTTAAAATCAGGCTCGTTATTTGGTGTATATTATTATAATCGGAATAAGGAATCAGAAACTTAAAATATTTTTTGTAAAAGTCCTTGATTTTAGCCGGTAGGTAACGTAACTCATCAGTGAGATGCTATTTGCAGATTTAAGTACACAAGCTTCGTTATAATATTTCTATAATGATATTGATAGAATAACACAGAGAGGCCCAATTTATTTATTTATATTATTAACACTTCGTTGCATACAGAAATATAATACAATTGACACAATTAAATGAAAAGGAGGGCAATTGGCGACCTTATCACTTTCGAGTGATCTCTTTCAGGCAACCACCCAATTTTCTAGCGATGCTACCGAGACTTGGCCCCCTTTCTAGACAACTCTTGTGTTTCGTTATAAAGCCTAATATGACCCGTTTTTTCTGTGATATGATATCGATATAATTTATATATTAAGACCTGTTAATTCTGGTTCAACTCAACAGTACTTAAGCTATGAATATCACAGCTTTCAAATGTATATCTCGTATTTTAAACCCTTAGGGAATTTCACTGGTCATGCTCCACGCATTATAATAAATAATTCACAATTTCGAACCAAGTTTGAGGCCTGTGTTGATAAGCGTCTGATAAGTTGAGATATTTATTGCTGATACTTTTTACTAGAAGATACAGCCTTAGTTAATCCTATCAACGCTATCCAAATCAACTTTTACTTGGACCGCTTACTATCAAATTATAGGCAGTTATTGCTTAAAGTGATTACTTAAACGGTTTGTCAATTTTACTATCAGGAAACATTTAATAAAGTTTTCATTTTAACGAAATTCTGGCAATTGGTTCGCCATAAAACAAAATATGATAGTATCTTCAAATTCTACACATTATCAACTAATTGATTGCTTCCCTTAAGTAGGGAAGCTTTGATATTTTCTACAAAATTGGATTTTCTGAAAAACTAAATAAAAAAATATAGTTTTGTCATTTATGAATACGATAAATATTTAAATTTTCAATGCTTTCCCAGTAAAGAGTTTATGAGACAGTAGAACGGCAATAAAGACGAAACATAATAATTACATCAAACAATGCGTGTGTATATCACACATGCTAGCTTTATGAGTGGATCTATGTGTGTGTGTTTATGAGCATTTTTACTGTTAACGTTTACGAGCAGTGACGGGTTTACACCTGTTGTCGAGTGGAGCTTTGAAATAAGAACGGTTAATACTTACTATTTGTTTGGTTTTAGAATCCCACCAAACGTTTGGGAAACAGTCGTGCCGGGGTCAGCGGCCTCAAATGGCCACGTTTGAATCCCGTTCGGATCAAATTATATTTGTAATTTGATCGCCGCTATCGTTGGGTTTAGGTAATTCTTTACACGTGGATTTCCATTTACAAATTCTTTTACGTACTTTTATTATAACAAAAATAGGTTTTAAGTATCCACATAGAATTTAGTTTCACCTTTTTTGCCCGTATCGCTCGGTTAGTAGCTCAAGAAAGTAATAGAACGTGTCGTAATTCAGTTGTCAGCATTAACTTGACGCGTAACGAGATCATTTAGAGAAACATTCCTTGGCGTACATGTTTTGTATTTACATCGGATGTTTATGACCTTGACATACATATTTTGTTAAATGCCTTAAGTGTTACACAAACAAAAACACAACAACAACTACTACAAAATGAAGTTTAATAATGTTCATGTAAGTTCCATAAGAAAACAATGTATTTGAATCAATATGGCATACTCGATAACTTTTTTAGTAATCATAACAATACAATATACAGTATTTACAATTTTCGTAACCTACATAGTAATAAAAAAAATATATAAAAAGAAAATTAAACAAATTTAAAAAGTTTGGTCCCTGTTTACCTTTAACGCTGGCAGCATTTCCTCGCTGTATTGCGATATTTATCGTTGAGCGAGAAAAGCACTAGCTCTGGGGTCACCGGTACTATCTACGAGTACCAACTTAAATCTTTAATCTATACAATTAGGTTTTTACGTATCATTTACGCAGTTAATATAACTTTAATATAGTTATTTACCAAAAGAAAATCGTCAAGAAAAGGGTTGTCGGGAACAAATTCTCTACATCTTGTGGTTTTGTTTATTATTCGGTACAGAGGTACTAGTTATTTCAATTTTGTGATGAAATAAAGTGTTTATTGTTATTCTGTGAAAGTTAGTTAGTAAAGTAAGTTGGCTACGGCTGAAGTCAGTTTCATAAAAATTAATCATGTAAAATTTTCAGTAATGATGTCTGCAGACGCAATCATCGGGATGCCTGACAATTTGCTTATTACAAGTATCTGTATTAATAATAATAAATGTACTTGGTTTACGCGTTTCGGCGTCATATATCTGCTTAGTTTGACGTTTGACTTTTTGTGATTTTCAAGCACAGCAGCAAATATATTTTTAATTGAAAATTCCAAATTTAGCTAATAGAATCTTCATATAAATATATAAACACTCATTATCGTTTAAAATATTTAATTCTCTGGTAATACGAAACCAATCAATACAATAATAATTCAATACTTTTAGTGAATTTTGTTATATTTTTTTAAAGATTTTTAATTTATGGCAACAAATGTTTTCTTTAAAAGACAATATCATATACCATGAAAGATATCCTTCTATGCCTTTCGGTGTCTTTAGGTGTAAGATATTCCGTTTTACTTTCAACGTTTGAGCATGTTCTCTTGCGCATACAGAAAGGAAAATAAATTGGTGTACATTTACGACCTCAGGTTTTAATATCTCCCACTTAACAACCAAGCTAACAGTGCTTTTGCTTTTAATTAAAAAATACATTGAATAAGCAGTTACAATATAAGTATAAAACGCGAGTAATTATTCTTCCCGTTAGGAAACGTACAATGAATATTAATCAGATAACTTTGTTAAAATGTTTTTGATTCTCCGTTCGTCCCTTGGAACTCGTTAGCGTTAAATTAATACCGATGTTTATAATTTGTATATTTTAAATAGTATTTTGTATACAGGTAGAATGATATGTTTGACTTTTAATTAGTGAACAGTACAGCACACGCATATATGTCTACACCAGGCAAGAATGCAATATTGTAAAAGTGGGTTTAAATTAATAAATTAATTACAAGGGAACTAAATTAGACACGAAATATTTTCCTCAATGGCGCTACGAATTCGAAATATGGTTTGAAAGCGCGGCTCGTAGAAGGGTCTACGCAGAGGGGTTGTAGAGATAACACGTAGATGGCTACGCGCACTAGAGACGGCTAGACTTATATCGATAAAATGCTACGGTGTATTTTTGTTTTTATTGTTTATAACGAGTTATTGGGATGACTTTAACATATAATATAAAAACAATTTATTCAAACTGCATTATGGTTAAGCAAAAAGGATTTGCACTTTTATTACTCAAAACAAATTAGAAATGTAAAAATTAAAAACGTTTTAAAAATAGTTAATTATTATTATGTACGTATTTTATATCGATATATTAATGAAGATACACAACTCTAACTTGTCAATAAGAGCAGTACCCGCGACCGTCCTCCTATTAACCACTGTTTGTGCAACTGTCTGTAAATGAAAACAAAATGGCGTAGCGAACCATTATAAACGATACTGTTTGAATAATAAGGCCTATTTCAGGTTAGCCTTGCAACTCGTCAGTTGTTCACAACATTCTAATTTGAACTCTATGATTTAAGACATACAGTTCAAAATGGTTAAAACATTTAGGAGAAAGTATCGGTAAACAAATGTAAATGTACTAGTATAAACTCTTGAATAGTTATGTTTTAATTTTGAATATTCATACTGTTATATGATACTTAGTTTGAAATTCTTCAGCTTAAATGGAGTAGGAAATGTTGTATAACATAATCCCTTGAACTGTGAAAAGGCTGACTTGGGGGTACAAATAATCACTTATTCACACCACCTCTTGTCGCCTTCTCGGCTTTTTCGCAGTCCCATAATATCATATAAATTTAAAATACGGCAATGCTTAGCATAATATACTTCAGTATACAAAATATAAGTATATTTATTTAATTACTTCGCACTTTATTTGATGTTTTATATTACGTATTTCTATTTTAGCGTTACAAACTTTGAATATATTCTTTCGTGAAAACGAAATCAATCAAAATGTCCCGGACTTTTGTAGAGGTGCGAATTTATATAGCACACAGTATCGTATTATAAACGCACACAAACGCACCATTTACGATACATGATAACTCAATTTGTCAGATATGTTGATTTCTTGAATTGTTGACTGGTACTAAAAGCTTCTTTGGTACTAAAAGATGTTTCTTTCATATACAAAAAAACTATATAAGTTTTATGTTCTGTTTGTAATTTATGCCTAATATAGGATTACAATCGTTAGCATTACAAGTAATAATTAAAATAGATTTAACAGTACTTAGTAGCACGTAGTATAGTTTCTGTATTCCTCTATATACTGTAGCTTCTACTACAATTTGAAGTAACTGTAAATTTAGTAACAAATTTATTTATCGTGTTATGTATATGTTCTGCTGAAGTAAAATTAGTATCTTAACGGGATAATTATCTAAAGATTATTAAGAAGCAGAGACGTTGGTTATCGCGTAATCGTTAACCTATATAGTGCGGCTAGGGCGGGCGGCGGCGCTGGGCGGCAGCACCGGGCGGGCGGTAGTCGGTCGCCGCGCGCGCGTCTGACACAACGTCTCGCGGCCTCAACATACATATCAGCTATTTAGTGTTTTAGTGTAATGTTAGTGGTAATCAGTGCAAATTTGCTTTGGAATTATACATACAGCATGCCTTGTGGATTGTCTAATTGTAAGGAAATGTTTGCACCATTCAACATCGAATGTTTAAGTTATTCTCATAGAACGTAATTATGCCATAGTAAGGTTTATAGTAAACGTAAATACATTATATATAAATTTATGTAGTAGAAGCTATAAAATATAGCATTATCTAAGGCGATGTAGATAAAAACTTATCCTAGTTTACTAAAGTTTCATTAATTGATAATAACGTGAATTTTGATATATGATGTGCTTTCAATATTTAAAAAAATATTTTACGTAAGAATTTTTATACAAACGCCCTATGGGACTTTGCTATGAAGATAGAATATGCTTCATAATTGACCTCCCATCTGACAAATGACATCCCTCCCATCAATAACCTACTTGCCGGTATGAAAACAACTAACGAATAATTAATTATTGCTCACAATTAAAATTAATTTCTTGACGGACCATAAAAAGGTCAGGTCAACCGTCACCCATGAAGGGTCAAATCTGTCCCATAATATTTTCATGATGGGATCGCAATGGACGGGTAAAATTGCCCCATTTTTGTTATGATGTGTATTACGTGCGATGCCTATTTCCCTTATTAAAATTAATCAATGATGTTTTTTAAGACTTTTATGTAGAGAAAAAGTTCTATATAGGCTTCAAAGGCAGTGTAACTAATCACTATATTGCTTTTTTATGATTGCCATAGTTTTCTTTACACCTTCTACAATTCTTTATGCGAACCGGAAGTTCATAAATATGTTCACCACGTAAATATACACATAGTTTTTGGACACAAAGCGTTACTTAATGACAGGAAATGGGAAAATTATCATTTTGTCGACACTGGTCCCACAAGGGAGCGTCTACACCCGCCAACCCCATTAAAACAGTCGAGATATATAAATACTTTTTCTCTACAAATTGTAACGTTTAATGCAAGAGCGTAAGGATATTTTATACATACGACAAAATTAAAAGCCAGTTTTTTAATTGCCTGTGATCGATTCCAGTATTCGTTTTACTGTGTAAATGTTGATAATTCAAATTGTCTGGGTAACAATTTAAATACAATATAAACTTTATGAATATTAATAATCTAAATTAAAATATAGGTTTGTTCCCAGCGAAAATAGTTTTGTTTATAATGGAAAGCATAACATAAACAAACATAACTCGAATTCTGGAAGAAAATCTCAGGATATGAAACGAAATAAGCTCTGTATTGGGTAATATCATAAACTATGATCTTGTGAGTCGAGTGGTTCAATTTTGGGAACATATTTTTCGCTGCATCGTAACATTGTGCCTCCGGCGATAAGTGTATTCTTATACGGTATACTAGGGCTGGGATCTCTATTTTATCGATTCTTTTAGCTATATTTTTCTATTAAACACTATTAATAAAAAAACATAAACAAGAACATTTTTATGTTTATATTAAGTTGTTGAGAAGTGTTGGCATAGTGGCTTAATTATGCGTCTTCACCCTGAGATCGTGTGTTTAAATCACAAAAATTTTTTTTAGAAAGCAT